AACAAGCAGAGCTATTCTAGGCAAAATGAAGTCATGTTCAAAGCCTCCATGTTTACATTTTGTTCTAAGAGGGGCCAAAACAGATACAAGGGAAGTAAGGGATGGCTCAGAGAAGATCCTGGGCAATCCAGGTTCCAAATTTACGGCTGGGTGGCAATATGTAGCACATGGTTTAGCACATGGAAGTAACTTAAAGAGGTATCCTTGAATGACTCCTTTGCCTGCCTGCTAGATGGATTAAGCCATGGAAACCCCTAATTTGTGAATTTAGGCAAGGCTTAGGCTGAGAACATACAAATTATTTATGTAGCCACCCCATAATGTGATTCAGTCACATTTCTGTTATGGAAAGATGGAGTCCCTGGTAGATGTAGTGCCTCTTACCAAATAAAAAGAGGGTGTTAGCTTTGGATTCTGTTCAAAACTCTTGTAAATCATGTCTATCTTTTAATGGCTGGTAAATCTTAGCAGTCATCCGTGAGGCTAATAACTGGTGAAGAGGGAAATTATCCTGAAGGCAAGTAATCAGAATGTACCATACTTTGGGGGATTATAGACTAATTTGTGGCAATTTCCCCATACTGTCTTTGTAAATATGGAGGTCATACGTTTAACGGAATGCACAGTACCCTGGGGCTTTGAAACTATGACCTATTGTCACATGTAATTGCAGTAGTGGAAATATTACTTGTTTGAAGTGTTTGTGTTAGCATAAGAAGAAATGGGACACTTGCCATTGTTTCACTGCCCAATATTTTGGAATCACAGGCTTCCTAGTTCCTTAAAGTATGATCAAGCTAACTCACAAGGACAACTGGCAAGTCTGTCCTTGAGTTCACCTCACACACTCTAAATTAAAGTCATGGTCAGGAGGAATCCTTGTCGTTACTTTTCATTTTCATAACTCTGTCGACCGCCGTGACTGCAGCCACTTCAATTTCCCATGGGCTTTCCCCCGATGCTATTTCTAGACTTGTGTTTCATGGCTAACTAATGGACACATTCATGCCCAGGATGAAGAGTGAGTCCTCCTGGGCCAATGGCAATAAACCTTCAGGACGTTGCTTTGGCAAGCAGTCAAGTGCAGCCCCATTAAAGTGCAAACGAGAGCTCTCAAATTAACCTGGCATCTGCTATCACAGAGACTGAGCCTCAAGCACCGGATCTTGCAGAAAGGCCTACGTGGCAACAGCACAGACCTGGGGCTATAGAGTTATGGGGACTCCTGTCTTTAGGTAACACACCACACATACACTCCTGGGCAAGTGCTATACTGTAAACCTGAGCTACTGCCCCAGCTCTTCAGGGTACTTTATAGCGTAAGCAAAAAAAGTAATAGTACCTGCCACAGCCTGCCCCCAAGAAGGTTCCAATTTGCAGTTTAACAGTGAGAGAAGTGCTGAACCAAACTGGGAGGTTTCTGAAATGTCTATGTACCTAGAAAGTTGCTTCCTCCCCAATGCTTGGTGCTAGGGAGGCACTTGAAAGTCTCTAACATGTCACTTGCGAGTTGGAAGTCTAGTCATTTGTGCCCAGCAACAGGACTTTAAAAGGCCCTTTTAATGGACTTTCTTACATGTGCATTAAAGGGACCCCTGACCATTAGGTCCAGTAGCGAACGACTCTGGGGTTGCGGTGCTCATCTTGCTTCATTTGCTGAGGGAGCCGACGTTTGTCCACAGACAGCTTCCGGGTCATGTGGCCAGCACGAATAAGCCACTTTTGGCAAACCAGAGCAGTGCACGGAAACACCGTTTACCTTCCTGCCGGAGTGGTACCTATTTATCTACTTGCACTTTAATAATAATAATAATAATAATAATAATAATAATAATAATAATAATTTATTATTTATACCCCACCCATCTGGCTGGGCCTCCCCAGCCACTCTGGGCGGCTTCCATAAAAACCAAAAATACAGTAAAATATCACACGTTAAAAACTTCCCTGAACAGGGCTGCCTTAAGATGTCTTCTGAATGTCAGGTAGTTGTTTATCGCTTTGACATCTGCTGGAAGGGCGTTCCACAGGGCGGGCGCCACTACCGAGAAGGCCCTCTGCCTGGTTCCCTGTAGCTTTGCTTCTCGCAATGAGGGAACCGCCAGAAGGCCCTCGGCGCTGGACCTCAGCGTCTGGGCAGAATGATGGGGGTGGAGACGCTCCTTCAGGTATACTGGACCGAGGCCGTTTAGGGCTTTAAAGGTCAGCACCAACACTTTGAATTGTGCTCGGAAACGTACTGACTTTGACATGCTTTTGAACTGCTAGGTTGGCAGGAGCTGGGACTGAGCAATGGGAGCTCACCCCATCACAGGGATTCAAACCACTGACCTTCCGATCGGCAAGCCCTAGGCTCAGTGGTTTAGACCACAGTGTCACCCGCGTCCCATCTACATGTGCATTAGGGTCTTTTAATTCTTCAGCTGTTATTAAAGCAATCCATTTATGCACATTAGTGCATGGGTGTTGATTTTTTTTAAAGAACCTTTTAATATTCATTAGCACGTGGACTCAATTCACAGCTTGGTGCTGAAAAGAAGAACGTGGACAATGTAAAAAAAAATGACACCAATGCAGCAATATATCAAGGGAATAATGGTAGCAAACAGGTGCAAGAATGGCAGACTAGCTGAAGGCATATGTGCTGTGGTGGTGGGTCGCTTTGCACCCTTCAAAACAGCAATTTTTTGCACTGAGAATAGAACATTACAAAAATTCAGTCGAGCACTACAAGAACAGAGGGAAGCAATAGATCCAAACAGTTTTATGTATTTAGACATCATTGAAGAGGAGTCGGCATCTTCAGGAGTTAAGGTATTCATTGTTGAACACATTTTCTTTTGTGGCTAAAACTGGAATGTGCTAGTACAGCTACAATATAGTGATTTATTGAATTAACGTGCACCACGGATTAATCTGTGCTATGTATGCTGCTGAGGGTCAGAAAGCAATGGAATGGTTGGTAGTCATCATACATAAATCCAGAAGCTGCATTTGAACTGAGCTTAAGCAGGTTTGAAATTGGAAAAGTTGCTCAAGCTTCCTTCCCTGAGTGAAATAATCAAGCATTATCCACGCACTGCTATATTTCAGACCTTAAGGGCTAGCTACTTGGATTTATAAAAATAAAACTGAGATTCTTGGGATGCTGAATTATTTATCCAGTATTAATTGCTATACTTGCAGAGTGTAGTTGAGGACTATGCACTGCCTTGTGTGTCAAATAATGCCAGTTAAGCTTTTGGGGATGGAAAAGGTGCATCTATAGAGGGCAGCACCACTCCTTGCAGTCTATATCCACCTCCATTTTTAGCTGGTTCCATTTGTACAGGTATAGTTACCAATTATGTTTGCAGCTTATGCCTGCAGTTATGTACTGATGCCTTGAATAGCATTGAACCAAAGGACCAGAAATCCAGCTGTTATGCAGATCTTTCACATGACATATTGGAGCACCACAGAATTGTTAAGGATGGGGCATCTCAACAGACAATAGACACAAAACAGGAGATTACTCAGCAATATTATGCCTACATGACAGGCAAATGCCTGATTGCAAGTGCTTTATACTGGGATGCCAATCTCACTGCTGCTCCACTGTTGCAATTCAGTTATGCTAATATACCAAGGCACTCGAGAGAATGGTTGGATTTTCATCCCCCAGCGGATGCTTATCCTTTAATACAAGCTAGGGGCCTCTTGCCATAATTTGACTTCGAGTTCCTGGGAAAAAGCTTGGAACGCAGGTGCCTTTCGAACAAATCAGGAAGCGTGCCTGTAACAATTCCGGAGAAATTCATTTGACTTGCATTTCTTGAAATGCCAGAGCTCTAAGGGGAAAGGGCATTTAAATTTGCGCTAACCTTTCAAAGCTCTGGAAGGGCTTGTTTGGCTAAGCCTAAGTGCACTTTGTTTTGCTCGCCAAGCACAGGCCAGTTTCCTGTCTGTCATTTTGTATTGACTGACTTTATCTGACTGTCTGACAAGTGTCGAAGACACCATGCAATGCAGAGGGCTCTGCGCTGAAGGACTTAATTAAACAAGTCTTGAAGAAAATGCAAGGCTGTTTGAAGGTGATTCTCCACCCCCCCTTAGGCTATGTTGGTACCAGCTGTTTCCCCCAAGATATCGCCCAGGGTGTATGGGAAGCAGATGGTTCAGTCAGCACCTTATTCTGTATCATATCCCTGCTTTTTAAGAAGCCACTTCTGGGTGGGTCAGTATCTCAATAAAGAGATACAGTACTTCTTCCATAAAGCACTGTTCCTTCCTACCCCACCCTTGCCTGGCAGATGTGTAAAAGCAATTCACAGTGTGAAAATAGTGCAACAGGCCATTCCTTTAAAAGTGGCATCTGTATAGGACTTCCTTATCCCTATCCAACATGACACCTCTGCGTAGTTACTCATGTTTTGGAGCATAACTTTAATCACTCAGAAAGGATGGCCTGAATGTGAGATGCAGGCCTCCCATTCTCTGTAATGGCTCATTGCACTGTCTGAATGCGTACAAGAGGTGATGGTGGAACAAAGCTCTATAGAGTTCTGTGGGATCTGTGCAAGGGTGTTGGCCCCCCATATCTAAATTGCACCATAGCATGCTCCCATCTTGACTGCTGCAAAGCATGCAACATGATAAATGTTTAAATTGAATTCTGGCCTTGCCTTTTCAGTCAATTTATTATTTTAAAAATCACCCATTGTAATATGGATAATTAGTTTGCATTGTCCTTTATTTCATCTAAGCAGTGCGTAAGCATTGCATTGGATCTCAGGGACTTGATCCTTATCTTAAATGGGTTACTTTGTTCATTGATTTCAGTGTCCATCAAATGGAACTCTCAAGTGATACACGAGCATGTTAGGGTAAGAAATTACATGCTAGTTCAATTTAAATTACTTTCACTTAATCACCATGACTATTAGTTTCTGGGTAAAGAAATAAATATGAAGTGGTACTTTGCATGTTGTGTGGCAGACCAAATGAATTACATCAGAAAATGCAACCAAATGAGATTTAATATGTTTGAGGGGGAAAAAGTTTAAAGGAGACAAACATGTTTTACACCTTTTGTGGTACAGATAAATTTGTGATCTTAGTGTGTATAAGGAAAAATGATGCTCAAATGTGCAGCACTTTTTCATATTGGATCAAACATCATTGGAACTGTTCACATGTGATGCATCTATATTAAATATCATCTTCTAAGTAGGACCAAGCCAGTAGGATATTTAGAAAACACATCAACAGACCTTGGGGGCAGAAGAGGAAAGTCAGAGGAGCATCTTTGGAAGGTCAAAGTTTGGAGTTAACTCTAGTCCAATGTGTTAAGATAAACAAAAAACAGTGAAGTCTATTACACATCCTTCACATCTTAATTTCAAGAATATTTACCTGAACAGATATTTACAAGCATTTTTTTAAAATATTTTTTTTATATAAAAGTAACATTTTTGCTATATCTATTCCACAAAGGTCTTCATTTATGGGAAACTTACCATATCCAGAGTAAAATATTCAAGAAATCATACAAAAGGGACAGTAGAGCAGGGCCCCGATCCGGCAAAACACCTTCCAGAAGAGATGCAATGTATGGATACAATTTTGTTTTACCATTAATGACCACTGCATATTTCTAAATGGAGGCTACATCCAATATTAGGTATCTGGGTTCTAACCTCCTATGGCTCATAGGAAAAATTATGTAGGCTTTAGCAAAAAATTATGTATATCTTAGCACTGATCAAACTGGGAGGAGAAGGGATAGAGGAGACACAGCCCCAACCTACTCCTGTTAAGAGCTCGCACACCTTTCTGTTGTCTATATGTGCTGGAACACCCTACTTTCTCTGCTATAAGGTTAAGCAGTGGGTTTCTGGCTAACGTCAAGAATTCTGTGATTTTTTACTTCATTTGATCTCGTTCTTCAGCATTCAAAGCAACCAGAATGATTTCACTTAACCTACAGACCTTGGTTGATTGTTGAGCTGTACTAGCTTAAAGCTAAGAGCCAAAGATTCATGAGGCCACTGAGAATTCTTGGTTAGCAATCCCTAGCATTCCCACATACATCTACAGTATCCAAGGTACCTGAGGGAAATTCATGAGTACTAAATGGTCCTCACGTGTAGAGCAGATGCAGTCTTGATTAAAATGTCTGGTTGTAGGCATAGACTTGGAAATCACTTGGGAAAAGAATAACCAAGTAGAAATGTTTATAGTTCAAAAGCCTAATGTCAGATTAATCCTAATTCATCTTAATTGTAGCCACAGTGGGGTTCAGATGATGCCCCAAATGAGGAATGTGTGATCCCGCCCTTCACTTCCCTTGCTCCTAGTATCCATGCTGTTCTGCCATCCACCTATTCAGCACGTGTGAGAAGGGGCTCTATGTGTATATCAACATATGCACAAAGGTCCCCATTAGAAAGACGAACCTGACTGATCCAGGATCTCCATTCGCATGGGGGACCTCTGTGATTGTATGTAATTGGGTGCATAGGGTCCCGCCTAGTCCTTAGGTACACCAAATGTGTTGCTGGTTGGGCGTGTGGCCACTAGGAATGCTGTAGTGGAGGGGAGGAGGCTAACCCAGGCATGGGCAAACTCCAGCCCTCCAGCTGTTTGGGACTACAGTTCCCATCATCCCTGACCACTGGCTCTGTTAGCTAGGGATAATGGGAATTGTAGTCCCAAACATCTGGAGGGCCGGAGTTTACCTATGCCTGGGCTAACCTGTATAGCCCTACAAGCCTCTCGTGCATTATTTGAATCCCTGCCTCCATATTAAAATGGAGAACTAGTACTCTAAAGATCACCATACGGTATTCAGTAATGCCTTTATAATCCCAGTCAAGAAACTCATGCCAACTCTTTTCTTTTTTTCTGTGACACCCCCCTTCCCAAGTATGATGATGCAACAAGCATTGCTGTTGCAAAAAGTTATTTTTTTAAATACCTTTTAAAAATCATTGGATAAGGATTCATATTTTCACTTCTGATTGCTTGGACTACACTGGGATTGGGTATTATATATCCAATTGCATTTATAACCATCTTCTCTGTTTTCCAACTATGATTAGTTGCAGTGTCCAATGTTAGCAAGATACATATATTTTACATCTCTTTATGGCAAATCTGCTTACAGTTCTCAGTGTCTGCTATTGCATTGTTGGATATATTTTAATTGGTTTTAGATTGGGGGAAAAGCAGCATAACTGAATGATAATTGACTATAAATGAGAACACCATGAATGGGAGAAGAAAATGAACAGCAGCAGCATTTTTTTAAAAAAATCCTTTTTTGCAGGCATTTGGATGACAGATGTAAATTAAGTGCCTGATTTATATAAAAGCTAAAAGTTCTCTGCACAAAAATAGGCTACTGGAAAGGGTACGTTTCAAGACATAGCCATTGTTTTCCTGAAGAACCCAATTACTTCGAGTAATGGTAAATTTTTAATGAAGGGGAAGAAATTATTTCTGGAAACGTTTCTCTCTGCACTGGGAACAACACTGCTTATTTTCCTGCCTGCTGAAATAGCAGTTTATCTTGCACACTTAATGATAGCTGCTGCTTAAAAATAAAAACAGATAAAGCTTTCTTTCCTGATTACATAGAAGATATTTGCATATTTGCCCATGTGTTTTCTAGCTTTCAAATCTGCCCCACCTCTTTTATTTAGAAAGCACCTCGTACAAAATTGAAAAATGTCCTCCTTAGGACTGAAGAGGAGAAACATTCCCCACCCATATCAATTTTAGGTGCTTGCTGTGAGACAGAGAAATATACCTGACAGTACAGAATTCCATCATGTTTGGACTCAGAAAGGTGTTGGGTTAGGCCTTCCTGAATTATGTTTCCCCGTAAAGAAACAATGTATGTTTCTCTCCTATCTCTTTGCATTCTAAATACTACTTTCAGTGACAATATGCTCTCACACCCTCCCCTCAATCCTTAATTCTAACCTCTTACCTCTTTCCTTTGATGTTAAGGGTGATGTCTTCCGTGGAGGCCTGCAGCTACTGGAGGGCATGTAGGGGTATTGCCACCCCATTTGCATTTCGAAGCAACATAAATGAAAATATTGACCAGATATTTCAACTTACCTTCTTAGCCCGATTATTTTTAAAGGTGAGTGGATTTTTCTTTACCTGTTTGAACATTTAAATTTCCTGACTTGATAATATAAATAACATTTTCATTTTTTAAAAAAAGCTTAAAAAAGGACTTTTTGACTGAGATTGCATTTTCAACAAAGTACATAAACGCCTAAAGTTCTCCAGTGTGCCCATCCATGTGAAAATGTCTAAGCTACAGGCCTGACTTCATGCCACACGGCACACACTACAGGCAATGTTATGTTGGACCAATAGAATGAATACTGATGGAACTTAAGAAGTCATCAGCCTTTCAACGCAAAAGTGTTGTTGTACAGAATCACCAAGGAATGTGGCTTATACAATCTCAGTTTTGAGAAATCATTCCTTTCCCTAGTATATGTTCCATAACTCAAGCTGTCACGTCCAACTTCCACACAAATTCCCAGCATAACCAATTCCTATTAGCAGAGCATACCTTATATTATAAACCTTGCAAGTAGGCCAGTGTTGCACCATGAAGCTTATACAGTTTTTCCCTCAGTGTAAAAATATACAATGCTACTGCATATATATATTTTTTGCAGTTAAAGGTCCAATCAGTCCATTGTTTTATGGCAGTTCTGTTCCTTTTGACTTTTCATACGTCTCCAACCCAAACCACTGTGTTGCCTCTCTTGATACCCGAAACCTCGCAGCGTAATGTGTTTTGTCTCCCATTAATTATAAATAGTGACTCCTTTGCTGGTGTTATAAGGTATTGTCCAAATAATCCACTGTCTTGGATAATTCTGTTGTAGTTACTCCAGGGCCAGTCTTTGGATTTGATAGGGTCCTTTAAATTCTTCAATACGTCCATTTTCCCTGTTGACAACTCTACAAAAAGCACATCTGTTTGCAAATGTGAAGTAGCGTATATATAATACTGATTGCCTTCGGTGAAAGAGGACTGAAATGTCAGATCGGATATGTGCATGGTGGTTTGTAAGTCATAAATCAACTTGATTTCCCCTTGGATTGTTATTGCCTGGACTCTGATCCTCCCGCTCTGTTCATCTGCGCTGACCAAATAGCGTCCATCAGGGGAGATGTAGGGAGTACCTGATATGTCGCTGTTGGGGCCAATAACAGAATCTGTAACACTGTCAATTATAAGCTGTGGAGTTATTGGTACTGACATGTTTGTTTTGCACTGGACGAAGAAGTAGCCACCCAGATGTGTATAGGCCATGGCTAGGGGCAAACAGCTGTAGTTCTTGAAGCTGATCGTCTTGATGTGAGCCACAGTTTCCAGATCAATTTTGTGAACTACAGACTTAGACTTGTTAAAGATGAAACCAAATCTGAAGTGGGGAAATAAAAGACAAACAATATATAACCAAACAGATGCCACAAGATGTTATGAGAATAGCAATTCTTTGTGTCACTTGGCCCAAGAGCAGAAATGTTGTCTCGTTAAGTCTTACGCAACCCTAGGAGGTAGGCCACTATTACGCTGTCATCAATATGTATGTATTTATTTGAAATGTTTATTATTTAATAAACAATAACAGAACAAAATAGAGAATGGGCACACCTAATAAATAAAGGAGTAGAGTATTAGAAGTGACCTTAAGAAATTAATGTTCTGGAAATGAAAAGGTTTTCAGAGCTCACCAAAATCTCCCAGGCTAGCTGTAACACTTACTGAAACAACTTACCCAAACAGTATCTGTGGAATGCTTTGTGCACTTAGGCCAAATGAAATGAAATATTGAGTAAGTCTGTTAGACAGAGACACATTTTGTTGCTTAAGGTCACAAAACAAGTTCATGGCTAAGCTGTGATTTCAACCAGGGGTTCCCAGCTTATCATATGACTCATGTTAACTACTATACTATATAGCACATAGGTAGACAATATTAAAGACAAGGAGACATATTAAAACTAAAATCCCATGCTAACAGGTGCTGTACCCTAGAAAGAGAGGGTTGGATGCAGGAAAGAGGATCCAATTCTGACACATTGGGGTTTTCTGGATTTCTCTCCCCTGCAGATACCTGCTTCTCCCAAAAGCTGATCCTGGTTGAAGAAGAATCATACGATGGAGCAGAATGAAATGAACAGGGTGGAGCAAAAAGAGACAAGATGAAAGAGTCTTAGGCTGCTGTAGAAGGAAGTGGGAGAGGAGCCTTGGAGAGCCGTGGGAAGACAGGGACCTTCAACTGCTTCATTGGGGAAAGACTTACCGTATTTTTCGCCCTATAGGGCGCACTGGCCCATAGGACGCACCTCATTTTTTTGGGGGGGGAATGAATAAAAAAAAATTATTTACCCCCCAGCCGCGGGGCTGGGACGGGGGAAGCCCGAGCTTTCCCCGACCCCAGCCCCCAGAACAGGCTGCTATCCGCAAGCCTTGCGAGCCCGGCGGCAACTCTGCCGGGCGTGCAAGTCTTGCGGACACCTGCGCAAAGCACGGGGCGCCCTCTGGAGGGCACCCTGTGCTTCGCGCTGCAGGCTGCTGCCCGCATGCCGTGTGAGCCCGGCGGCACTCGCCCCATAGAAAGCCTGCACTCGCCCCATAGGACGCACACACATTTCCCCTTCATTTTTGGAGGGGAAAAAGTGTGTCCTATAGGGCGAAAAATACGGTACTGGTAAGAGTTGTGATCACTAGGCCTGTGCTGTTTTGGTTTCTTTGAATAAATAGTTAACTTCACTGACACTGGCTGTTTTACTGCTTGCCTGCCCCTGACAAGGGGGCTACAATCTAAATATATTACATTAACACCAAGCTAAGTCCTCAAGAATATATAGCATAGAATAGTGATATTTCAAGCCATGAAGGAGATGAGAAAGTCATGGAAACAAAACGTTAATGTCCTATAGACATAAAGTGGTACCTTGTTTTGAGTCCAGGATCCGTTCCGGAGCCCCGGATGCTCGATGAAGTGCTGCTCTGCGCATGCACAGTTTTGCACTTCTACGCATGCATGAACCGTGATTTAGTGCTTCTGCACGAGCATGAGCAGCAAACATGGAAGTAACCCGTTCTGGTACTTCCGGGTTTGCTGCAGACGTTCCTCGAAATGGATGCTAAATGGGGTGGACTCACAACGAGGTACTACTATACTTGATATGATGTAGCAGGTTTTTCTTTGCATAGGTTATAGAATTCTCTTGCACCCATTGAAAGTATTGTGTTAAGACTTCCCTATCATGCCTTATAGGTAAGTAGTTAAAAAGAGGTTGGAAAGGAGAGGAAGAAAATGTTAAGCCATGTTTGCCCTTGAGTAATTCTCAAAGGAAAAACAATAGAAAACCTGCTCCATTTCACCCGTGTTCCACACACAGGTGGCTTATCTGCCTAAAAGACTAGCACATAATGTTTCTTGAGGTCATGCTTTGGAACAATTGTTACACAACCGAATTGCCAGCATTCCATTGTGTGAAAATCATACTTCAGACCTGTGTTTTCACCTATAAAACACAGCTGTCTCCATATAATAGGCTTATATCCCCCTACCTTTTTTCTTTTTAGCTGAAAGCATCACTGAAGTGTCCAGCCATGGCAATTTACTCCTGAAGAGTAAGCCTGCATAGTGTATGATCACACATGAACACTCCTGGGATTTAGTGTTTCATTCAGTTGCTATACTTACATCCATCAGAAAGATGCTGTGTGGGATGGATGAAATACTGGCAGAGAAAATGAAATGGACAGGCGATTGGAGAGTAATAAGGTGACACCTGCAGCTTTTTTGAATTAAGCCACTTGAAGACTTTAAACAAAACCTTTCAAAAACATTAGATTCTGTACACATTTAACTTGGGAACAGTCCTATTGAACTGAATGGAACTTACTTCTGAGTAGACATATACAGGATTGCACAGCAAATATAGTAAAGCAAACCAGTAGCATGGTAAAGGGAAAGGGAAAGGACCCCTGACAGCTAAGTCCAGTCGTGAACGACTCTGGGGTTGTGGTGCTCATCTCGCTTTACAGGCCAAGGGAGCCAGTGTTTGTCCACAGACAGTTTTTCTGGGTCATGTGGCCAGCATGACTAAGCCACTTCTGGCGCAATGGAACACTGAAACCAGAGCAGTGCATGGAAATGCCGTTTACCTTCCCGCCAGAGCAGTACCTATTTATCTACTTGCACTTTGACATACTTTCGAACTGCTAGGTTGGCAGGAACAGGGACCGAGCAACAGGAGCTCACCCCATCACAGGGATTCAAACCACCGACCTTCCAATCAGCAAGCCCAAGAGGATCAGTGGTTTAGACCACAGCGCCACCCGCGTCCCTATAGCATGGTATACTTACTAATACCCATTTGTGTGTATGAGGACCACTGGTGCTATTTCATTAAATAACAGTTAAATGTTTCAAATAAATCATCAAATAAAGAAAGAAATGCTTTTCTGCACCGAAACACATAACAATGAATTGCACTGGGCTAACATGATGATGCTCAACAAACCACAGGCATTCCTGGCATCTGGACACTGCACAACCAACAGGTTGCATAAAAGCTGCAGAGTCACAAAGCTATGTCAGCAGAACATTTGCAAAGGCTCTCAGCTAGGCAGAGAAAAGAGTTGCCGCTGAAATTTTGCATAACCCAGAACTCTGTTTATTGAAAAGTTTTCCATACTGCTATTCAATTCAAAATTTGTGGTTTACAGGAAGTAATGCAAATCTAGCAAAAACACAGGAAGGCTTTGCTAAATACAGTTACAGCAGGGAGAAGGGAATATATCCAAAGTTAAAAGCACAGGGGAAAATAAAAAGGGCATTTTTGCCTGGCACCTAATAATCATGCTGGCCATTATTACCCCCATTGCTTCTTTGTGCACTTCCCATCTTTCTTATTTCATGTGCTGCTTCTTGTCTCTTAGCTAACTTATGGAACCATTTGGAGCAGGTCTTCATGGTTTATATTTTCTAATGTGGTGGAGCTTTCAGCGATTGCCATGAAAGCAAAGCAAGTAATTATCATGATTGATAATAATTTCATCAGATTAAAAGTACAAACTACTGGGGCCCAGAGGACTCTTACCTGATGTGATTGATAATGAGGTTTGTATGTGGAATAAAATAATCATCCATCCCGTTCAAATGGGTGCGAATGATATGCAGGTTGTCTCCTGTACTTGCTTCTGGTATTACCTACAAGGGATAACCAAAATGCTGAGCAGAAATAGAACAATAGATGAGGCACTGAAATATAAACTCTAGACTACCTAAATCAGGGGTGGGTAACATGTGGCCCTCCAGAAGCTGTTGTACTACAATGCCCATCATCACAGACCATTGGGCTATGCTGGCTGTGGCTGGTGGGAGTTGGAGTCCAAAATATCTGGAGGGTCATAGCTTATTAACCTCTGACTTATATTCATATGACCCCCACCCCCATGTATCCAGCAGCATCCCATAGGGCAAAATGCTGGGTTTCCTGGTTCCTGGAAATAAAGGATGAAATGGCATTTGCGTGTATTATGTGACATTTGCAAGGTAAGAGAACAGTTCTCCATCTGCTTTCAAGCTGTTTATAACAGAAGACAATGCAATCATGCAGGCATGGGAAGAATGTCCCAGCTCTAACGCTTCCATAATTTTTCTGCACAGTCTGCTATGAACATTGTTTTCAGGTTCACATATATTAATCTCACTTAAATGCACCATGCTAATTCACTGGCTTGAATGACCGACAGCAAAGTCACAGCAGTTAATTATCTCTTTGAAAAGATATCTACAGTGCCAGGGAGTGGGGGATATATGGAAAGGGGTAGAGTGAGTATTTCTTTTTTTTTTTTTTAAAAAAGGTTATTTCTGAGAAGAATGTAAGCTCTTTGCTATAATGAAAAGCTCACTTTGTTATTTCTCCTGTGACTCCAGCAAAATATGGAGATGAGACTTAAAAAAATAAAAATAAAACCTTAGAATGCTTATATGATGCCTAAGTTCAGTTCATTAGGCGTGTTGACTGTTTCTCTGCGTTAACAGGACATCTTCAGAATTTACAGCTAAGTAGTTCATTACAGAAAGTGCCAGAGCCTTAAAAGATCTGCTGCAATATTTTTGTCAGGCTCTTTTGAGAAACCTGTCATTGCTTGATGAAAGTCCTCTGATGTAATCATGTAGAGTATGGTACATTAGGTATCCACCATGCCTCTAGTGCTTTTGCGATAGTGAGGCTTCTTCATTAATATGTGTTTGAAATAACTCGTCAGGTGTTAGGGGTTTCCAATTGAGGACTTTCCCAACAGGACTCTAGTGACCTGTTCATTGTGTCATCATGGCAGCTTGCAGATGAGCAATCTGCTGACCTTTGGCACCATCACTGAAGCTAATGCTTCTGCAGGGATCAAAAGTGACAAAAGTGGCCAATAGGACTCCACCTGATCCTGTGAAGCTTCTGACTTTGGTCTGGTCCTCAGACTGAGCAACTTGTCAGTTACAAACTGAACTACTGTCTAAAGTCCCCATTTGTACAGTGACCATTTTAAAGGTCTGCCTGTTTTCATGCTGGGGTGTGGTAGCTGTTTGCCACCAGTCCTAACATAGCACTCTCTCTCTCTCTCTCTCTCTCTCTCTCTCTCTCTCTCTCTCTCTCTCATCTATCTATATGCCCGACTAATTTGTACAATACTGCACATCTTCTGTCTGTTACCTATTGGCAGCAAGTACTATATGCAGAAACAGTATTTCCATGCACTGCTCTGGTTCGCCAGAAGCAGCTTAGTCATGCTGGCCACATGACCCGGAAGCTGTATGCTGGCTCCCTCGGCCAGTAAAGCGAGATGAGCGCTGCAACCCCAGAGTTGTCCGTGACTGGACCTAATGGTCAGGGGTCCCTTTACCTTTACTATATACAGATGTTTAGCAGAGGAACCCTTGGCCTAGCATGATATCCATTAATAGGTGCAAGGGTGTTTTGGATATAAGTTCCTAGTCTCACATTCCCCCAAAATAATTGGTGCTGAATCTATGACAGAATGCATCATCAAAGACCCACACTTCATTGTGGGTGTTCATTGTGGATCATTAACAGCTATACCACCATCTTTTATCTAGTCTGTTGCATCAGTTACCATAACTCTGCCATCTATCAAATAATTTCCCCCTACAAATGTTTTCTTTGTTTATGGCCTACATTGCACTAACGATCTTTGGAATTCTTATTAAACATGTAATTTAATTATCATAGCCCTACTGAAGCATAAATAACAGTGCTGGAAGGTAAGCTAGTTCAATCCTTTATGTTAAGGCAGGATCTTCTGTTCCCGAAACCATTGTCATTTTTGTATATGTTTATATATACATTTTTGTAGATTACTATGACCATGGAGGAGAGACCTGGAATGAGAAAAGTGTTCGTACCAGAAGTCCCCATGAGGCAAGGAATAAGCATAGCAAAATAGCAATGCATTCAAGTTCATGAAGCTTGCTCCATTTCTACCATAAGACACATTTGCTCTTCTTAAACCAATTTAACAACCATGAGTTTTTTAGAATATAGGTATTTAATTGGTATTTAATTGGTGTGTTGTAATGTGGTTTGGAAAAGAAAAAAGGTAGAAGAGAAGCATGGAAGAGGACTGGGAAAGAGGAGAGAAAATGAAAGAGAAGGAGAAGGAGAGAACAAGTAGATAGGTGTTAATTATACCTGTAAAAAATTATTATTATTATTATTATTAATTTTTTTTAAAAAAAAATGAGTTACATGTTTCAGGTCAGATCAGGGATCTGTAAATGGTGAAAGACACTGCTTGAGATGAAACATAATGAAATTAAAATGGTCCTCAGTTCTCACACTGGCAGATGAAGAATTATTTAGTTTACACTGGGGAGAGGAAACCTGTGGCTGACCAGATAGGAGCGGCTGGTGAGAATGGGTGGCATTGCTGCTGTGCACCAGGATGGTGAGGGGGTGGGGCAGGATAGCAGAGACCTTGAGGCAATGTGGTCATACCAGCAAAAGTACCTGATTGGCTCTGCTGGTACATCCAAACCTCACCGCTATCTCTCCCCTGCCCTCTCACTGTCCAGGTATGCTTCAGCCAACAGGCCAGTTATGCAGTGCTACTCCTTTCCACTGGCTGGACATAACTATGGAAATTTTGGGACTCCTGTTCTCCTTGACCATGGGCCATGCTGGCTGGGGTTAATGGGGCTTGGAGTCCAACAATATCTAGAAAGCCACACGTCCCCCATTTCGGGTTTATAAATTTTCCCATCAGCTCTGTTCTTAACCTATAAAAAAGTCTACACAGTTGATTCAAAAGTTGTCTTTGTGCAGGTCTTTGCATTTGCAGCGTGTTTGAAACAAAAGAAACAGTGATAAGGACAAGGGAGGGAGACATAGTTGAGGCTCACATTTAAATAAGATTTCTGGTAGGAAATGTTAGTCCTAAATTTCTGCTGGTAAGAATAATGGCTCTAAAAGAAGATTGTGATTAATTACTGCATTTGTAAGAGGCTTACCTGCAAAACTGGATGAGACTTCTTCATATCGCCCCAGCTAAGTACCCAAATTTGGTCATGTGACTTATCATAATGTAATTTTACAGGTAGAGGGTCAGTGTCCAAGGTCTTCAAAGAAACAAAAAACAGTTTCATTAGCTCTTCCTTATGAAAAAGAATGTAAGTTATGCATTTGATTAGGGTCTGTAAGCTATTAAGAAAGCCTTTGTGCACATTTTGCATTTCATGTCCAAGTCAGACACCAAAACACTGCATGTCATTGTACGCACCCAGTTTAATACGCTGGCAGACTGAGACCTGCTTTGTATGTTGTTGCCAGCAAAGCAGCTGCTGCCATACCATAGCTGCTTCCACACCAGTCCTGTCATCTATACACAATTTACACCCAGATGTATAGCATGGATGGTGGGGCCACCAGTATGGTACATGTGTCTTTTGTTTCTCTGCAGTTTGAGCCACATAGCTCTTAGGAGCAGTACTGGCAGTGGTGATACTGTTGCTTACTGAAATGGAGAGTGGTGAGATGGTAGGGAGTCTGGCACTGAGCAGAGACACTGGCAGGGAACTAAATGATCTCCACCCACAAAGTGCCAACTTCCCCGGCACCTCACCCAGAGGCATAGCTAGCCGCTTGGGTGCCCAGTGCAGCACACGTGTCCTGCAGCCGGGGGCAGGGTGAGCTGCCCATGGGGGCAGGGCGTGCTGTGTAGAGCCCTTCTGCAGCCTCTCCCTCCATGTAGGGCGGCTGAGGGAGCGGTGGTGGGCAGACGCAAGCTTCACGCTGCTGTTTCAGGCAGCGCCAAGCCTGCAGGTGCTCAAGCCACCACGCCACTCCCAGGAGAGAAGCGTGACTCAGGCATGTTGCAGGTCCTGTGGTAAGGGCCGGCCCCTGCAGTGTGGCACCCAGTGCCAGCTGCGTTTCATTGCGTTTCTTGACTGAACTAAAGTTTCGTCAGCCCAATTATTTTTTTTAACTCAGATTTTTGTCATTTTGTCAGCCCCCTTCAGTGATGACACCCGGGGTAGCCTGCACCCACAGCACTCCCCTTCCTCCACCACTGGCCTCACCCTCTGTCTCCCAGTAAGCAGCAGCAACATCGCTGCCAGGAGATAAGCTGCATAGTGCCACCCCTCCCCTGCCAACCATTCCTTGATTGATTGATTGATTGATTGATTGGTTGGTTGGTTGGTTGTTTGGTTTTGCTTAAATGCCGTTTTTGCACAATGAGCTGCACCCAAAGTGGCTTACAGCAAATGTTCAAAACAGAGAACACAGGAAATACAAAATACAGAACATGTTAGTAAATTCAAAGTAGCAAAAACCAACAATTTGGCAAACCGATTCAATATTACAAAAACCAACAATGATCTAGATTTAAGAACAGGAACAACAAGCAAAAATGAAAGTTAACTGACAATGCATTTTGTGGTACTGGTTTTGCTACACTCCAAGGAGCTTGGCATAAATGCAGGTTTTTTTTGGGGGGTAGATGACAAACAGCTGGCCCTCACATCTGTCTTCCAGAGGAGGCTGACAGCACCAAAAGACAAATGTCAGCAATGAAACTGAGTCTCTTCCTCAGCCTCCTGGAAGTACCAAGAAGAAGAAGAAGAGTTTGGATTTGATATCCCGCTTTATCACTACCCAAAGGAGTCTCAAAGTAGCTAACATTCTCCTTTCCCTTCCTCCTCCACAACAAACACTCTGTGAGGTGAGTGGGGCTGAGAGACTTCAAAGAAGTGTGACTAGCCCAAGGTCACCCAGCAGCTGCATGTGGAGGAGCGGAGACCCGAACCCGGTTCACCAGATTACAAGTCAATCGCTCTTAACCACTATACCACACTGGCTCTCTACCACTACACCCACCAAGGGCTTATGCAGGTCTTCTGAACAGCACTCAGTGAATCCCTTCATCTACACATGCTTCCATTCCATGTGACCATGTTGTGGCAGCCTTTTGAATACGAAAGAGGTGTTGTGGACATGACAAGGACCTAACATGCCAGCCATAAACTGACTTTAGTATCTGGGTTGCATATTTGAAAGTGTCACAGAATTCAGTGCATAGAATTACAAACTTACAGAAACTGCAATCCTGTGTTTGCTTTCTCATAAGTAAGTTTCCACTGTGTTCAGTGGGACCTTACTTTCAGGTACATGTGTAGAGGATTGCAGCCTCAGAATATGACAATACTCTGCATATATAGTTATCAGCATTACATATTACAACCTATGTTGTTAACACAGGACTTCAATTGACAGGTATTATAGTGTCAAAATGTTGTTGTCAAACTATTAGCGACATGATTAGTAACGGTCCTCTTTCTAGTAGCCACCTCGGGATGTCGAGCATGGGGTATTACCATACTCCTAACATGCTGCTAACCCAGCTGCAGATTTGTATTTTTACAAATCTACTAACAAAGTCAATAGCTAGAACCTCCTTTGCGAAGAGGCCAAATTTTTGGCAGTATGAAACCTTTTTGTCCCCCATCCAAAAGCATTCAGTTGCCCCTGGGAAGTTACCTGAATGACTTTCTGAGTCTGGATATCAAGGATCATTATTCTATTCCATTTTGGCTGTGTTACATAAATATATTTGTCTCTGACATTGACAGCGGAAGCCCAGAGGCAGGACTGAATGGCTTCACCTTCAACTCTAGGACAGATTTCTGCCTGAAATAAAATAATGAAAGCAGGTTTAATAAGTTTAGGTTCAGTGATGTGATCCAGGCAGTCAGCTATATAAGGCCACAGAGGAAAACGGTAGAAGGTAAAACAATGAGACCTTGAAGGTATGGCGTGTGCTGAGAGTAATAGATCTAACCTGTGGTATTGAGCTAGTTCTCTGGCAAACCTTTTGGGGGACCTGTGTTTTGGTCATTTGATGGGGCTGAGGCCAAGTTGAAGAGACCTCCAAAGGGGAGGTGGAGGTGGTAGTGCTTCAGAGGAATTTTCATTGGCTGGGATTTCTACCTTATTAAGTGTGAGGGGGTCTCTCTTGCATTTCAACATTTATAAAGGCCATGTGTGTGCTTGCAGTGGCACCAGACTCTCTCTACACAGGATCCCGCATTGCAGGACTCCTTGGAATGCCCACACAATGTCATATAGTCACACACATGTTCCAGGAAACACTGTTGCAATGGAAGCCTGTGCACAGAGAGCCTCACATCACTGCAAGAGCACATGGAGCATTAAAAAAAAAAAGGTTTTAAGTGCAGGATGCCCTCATTCTTCAGCTCCCTGCCCCACAAAACATCTTCAAATTTTTCAAAGTTGTAGAAATTTGTTCCCTAGTTTGCCGTGGGAAGAATGGACATGCAAAACTGAGGTGCAAAGCCAGCTTTATTTTAAACCAGGGATAGGCAAACTCGGCCCTCCAGATGTTTTGAGACTACAATTCCCACCATCCCTGACCACCGGTCCTGCTAGCTAGGGATGATGGGAGTTCCAAAACATCTGGAGGGCCGAGTTTGCCTGCGCCTGTTTTAAGCCATCACAGACTGAAATTTATATTCAAACAATAATATAGCCATTGAATATTTGGGAGAGCCAAATTTGAGTTATGAAACTTGTGGTTCACAATATGTTTCGGCAACAGGAGTTTCTTGATAAATTTCTCAACCTTCAGTTCAATAGAACTTGGGTGGCTAGGAAAATGTGCTCCTCACATTGTGGTTTATTCAGATGAATGTATGGAACTGAAGGCCTGTGAAACTCCAGTTCTAAACTTTATAAATTTGGCATAATTATATGAATTATGGTAGGGATTCACCTCACACGTCCCACCAGTGGAAGCCCTGTGCAATGATTTCCAATTCTGCGATGGGGCTCCCCCCATTCCCTCTGCAGTCCTAAAATTGCCTCAGCAGGTTGAGAGAGCCCCCAGCACATGGGGGAGATGAAGGGGTTGTTCCACCCAGCATGCTGAAAGGCTTGTGCTGATGGTGTTGTCAACATAGCACAACATTGAATTCCTCTTTACATGTACAATAAATTTCACAATTTTGCCACAGCAGGCAGTGAGATAAATAATGTAGTTTTTAACAGAAGCTAAACTGCAGCAGAAAAGCAGCGCTGCCTGCGATAAATACTAGTGGAAAGGAAAACAAGGACTTCTTACATCCTTGATGCAAGACCGAGATTAATTACCCCAAACTTACATAACTTGAGAAAACTTTCTCATTTGGTCTGATGTGTCTCTGGATCTCACAGTCAGTTGGCTGAATTATTGTGATTCCATCATCAGAAAAGACATAGAACATGTTTCCCACACTGAGCCCTTGAAGAGAAAACAAAAAAGCAAGGGGAAAAACATGTCATAATTTCCTGTCTGAAAACAAAAAAAAGTAGGCTAAACCTCAAAAATAAAAATTACTATACAAAACGAAACCAAAAAACCCCCTAGAGATTTGGATGCCTTTGGTGCATTCACAAAATTAAAGTTCATGTCACAAGTAGGGCTTCAAGGTGTGAGGAAAGAGGTACAGATAAGCTCAAAAATGTATTGCCTTGGTGGTAAGAGTTACAAATGTAAGACAGTATCTTGGGATCATGTCAAATTAATATGCAGGTTTCTTTCGTTTGCATTAGAAGCAGTTTGCTAAGACTTTTGCCCTTTCCAGGTAAATGTTTCAAATGCTGGAATGCAACCATGCATTTCACACAATTTGGAATAAGGGGTGTTGCTGACTTGTCGAGGGTCATACTTTCCCCCCAGTGGCCTAGAGACATTTGAGGGGCGGGGGCAAATCCTTATAGCCACCAAAGCAAAAACATTTTTGAAATTTTGCAAACTGTAATTCACAAATGTGGAATCTTTTAGCATTGCAATAGCACTCATCTATCAAAACTGGGGCATTCCAGAAGCTTTAGGGAGGGAAATAGCCTGTCAGTGAGTTTCTAGTAAAAGAATCGTATTCTACATTTCTGCTTAATCAGAAATGTCCTGAAACGTTTCTAGTATACTTCATTTTCCATTACATGCAAATGCAGTAATGAATACCTTGTATGCTTTTCAATCGCTCTCATCAGAAATCCTTTCACTACACATGTATATATATATTCTACAGATACGGTATTGTAATGGCTTCTGTCATCCCAAATAAAGTTGATAGTGTACTTATCTGCCAAACTTCCATAGTTTTACTTCTGTAAACTGTTTTGTACAGAAAATGAAAGCTCAATTTGTCAAAAAAGTTACCTTTGGTGGATGATAGTTGTTTTTAAGCTAATAAACTGTGTATCCTGTTCAGACTTGAAAAGTTACTGGATGACATTAAATGCTTCCAAGATTGGAAATCAAGGAATCACTAAGTGCACAATTCAGCCAAAGTGTAACCATTTTCCATTTCCATTTATTTAAAGGGTAATAATTAAGCATATGAGAGTACTCTCACTGAAATTGGCTCGATTTACAAGTGCCTAACTTTGGCTAGATTGTGCATGACAATTTAATCATGAAAATATTGCTTATTTAAAAAATAAGTAACAACCATGCAATATTTGCTTTTTGTTGCTGTTAAATTGATGCAATTCATCATGCTTTTCAGTACAACTGCTCCTGGAGTCACAGATCTTGCAAACAAGTATGCAATAGAAATTGAGTATTTGCAAGATTGAGTCCTCTGGTGTATATTCCATAGCGTCAAAGCACAATGACACTTGCACATTATATAGCTTTTATTATATCCGTTTGGTGTGCTGAGAATTTGATATATGAAGTTTAGCCTTTGAATTATACCACAGAAATACCCCAGTTAAGGCATCAAAGTGGATCTAGGATCAATGATCCTTAAATGTGATGCTGCAGTGAGGGATCATGCATTTTCTGAACACACGGCTAGCAAATTCCTACGTTATCATCACTGCTGAAGAACTAAAATACCTCAGGCATATCTTAGGCTGACATTTTCAACAAATGTGGACCAAAATCCTTTCTTGCCGCATGCACACAGTTCCTCTTCATTTCAATGAGGACTGAATACACACATTAGAAAGCAGGATTTGGCCCTTGATGCAATGAGTGCACATTTCTGCAGATGTTTAAAGTTGGGACAGTTTAAAACAAATGATAACAATCATGCATTAACTTATGGTAAGTGTGAACTGTGCCTATATTCCGATTCATGCACATTAACCACCCTGTTCTTTATGATCGTTTGATAAAATGCATGTTCACATTTCAGCTTTCATTTGCCCTGCCGTTAAAGCAGATATTTATGGTAATGCTATGACTCAATTTCATGTTGCTGAAGCATTAGTGGTTTATTATCATAGCCTTGGTGAATTTTCCATGAGGAAAATGCAGTAGTCCATGTTCTAGCCTTCATTAGAACCAGCATTGCATGACTCAAGTTTTCTAAGCCTATGTACACCCTGCCCCAAGTACTGTAACCACATTTTAAAGAAGAGAGCCCTTAAAGATAAGAAGTTTCCCTTCAGGACCAAGGTCCCTATTCCTTGCATGGAAATGCCACAGGTTTCTGGAGCAGGGACAGAGCTCCCTGTCCCTCCTACATGCCAGTTCCAAGCATGCTAGTTAAAAATAACTTTTAAAATATCAGGCTACTAACTTTTTAGAGTTTATTTAATTTACGCAATCTATATAAGTCCACAAAAGTTCATAGCCTGAAATTTTCTACACCAGATCTTACAGATAAACTACCCTTTCCCCCATTTATGGCACACTTCTCTTGAATGGGCACACAAGCCCAGAACATCAGAAACAACCACTCTAGTATTTTGTGAAAAAACTGTATTTTGATGGTAGAGCTAAATCCTGCTTCTCTGACTCCAAGGAAAGATTTGATCGATGCAGGATATCATGTTCATGTAAGGTGTGTTCCAGTGCCCTTTCAGCATCGCAGAGGCTTTTTCTAGGAAGAAGAAATAACCCGGTGATCCTATGATACTAAAGGTACTTAATTGGACGGAGTCAACACAAGCCAATTATTTCATCCATTTGTGGAACGTTGAGTTCATCTCAGCTGCCACAGATGCCCAATCAGTGAACCACTAGGACATGCCATCTTATGACCAACATGGCAAAATAAGTTAAACAACAAGTTTAACTGTCCCTGACCAGCTTTTGCACATGCAAATTAATATGGTAGGTATTCACTTGATGTGAAACTCTGGGGAAATTATATTATTTCCTACTGCCCAGCAAATATTTACACTGGCAATTCACTGTACAATTTCCTGTAGACATATCTCAATACTTAGGGCTCTTGCGAGAGCTTATGAGAGTCTTTTTGCAGAATCGTCCCACAGTGCTGCAGTAATGCTTGGAAGGCTAGAATCATGGGGGTGAGGCAACTATCACCTTTCCTTCCTGGTTGGGTAGGAAGAACACTTGGCAATTGGCTCCATCATGTGGTCCAGCTTTTTAATATATCGTCATGGTGACATGGGATAAGGCCAAGGAAAACACATCTTGCTCTGCTGTGGTGATATACGAATCAGACCTCAATAAGGAAATCCATGAAGGTTTTAAGGATTATTTTAACCTGCACAGAGACTAGAAGTATAGGATTCACTATAAATCTGATTGAGCTGAATAAACAATTGTCACTGGAGTAAGCAGTGTTCTACATGGTTGAAGGGAAGGAGAGCAACAGCTTTCCTGATATTTATTTAGCAAAAAATATGGAGCTGAAATATGTGGCCTAGAAAATAAACATCTGTTCAAGTGATGTAAATGAACAAAGAACAGCAGGATTTGTTGGTGTACATTAGAGTACTTACATTCCACTTAAAGTATAGCAAATTGTGACTTTCATTCTGGTGTTTCTGCTGATAATTACTTAAGAATCTGTTTTCAAATGTTGTTAACTTTCTGAATGCCTATTCAGAAAATCTTTATCATAGAAACTTAAGAGTCTTTTAGAAAAGTTGCATCACTAATAGTCTACCAGTTATTTGTTGGGTTTGCCTGCGTGCTAAGCTGAGACCTGCTGACATTGCTAAAGTTAGTGGCAAATCAGTGGAGAATGGTCCATTATGGAATTATTAAAGCAGACAAGCACATTATCACTACAACAAGACAATTTTACTGCAGTACCTTCCTCTCGCCACAGTATGTTTGCAACTGCAGCATCAGAGAAATGGGAGAGCCAGAAAATGATCAAGAAAAGGAAAAAAAAAACATTGTCAAAATTTCATTGCAGCAATTAAAGGAATTTAACATTCTGGTTTTTTAAAACTGTTTTTCCTCTGATAGCTTTACAGTATTAATTCAGACACATGATGTCACTTGAGTAAAGATATGGCAAAACAAACTCCACCAAATTCAGTTTTTCTGCTGAAGCATCTATTGCCCCTCCCCCACAGCAAACATCAAAGTTTTTATAGAGAGAAAATTCTCATTAAATTAAATATTTTTGATTTTTGCCTAAGTAAAGATTACAAAACATGTCTCTTCATGAGCAGACAGTTCTCCTCTTTCCACAATAATGGCCTTTTATCTTGTAGAATCACACGGAAGCTGTAACCACATGAAAGCTTGCTGTAAATGCAATGCATTTTCTAACAGATAATTACAGAAATCATAATGCTAAGCAGACTTTCTTTTAATTAATATTCATTAATGAGCATTTTGATGTTCAAAGTTTTATTTTTTAATTAATTTATTTTTACAGCCTTCTCTGGGCAAAAACAGCCTTGCTATGGAGATTACTATTATTCTTTCCCCTAATATTTATTTACATTTCTTACTTGTGGAACAAATGCCTGGGGCTGATCTTCCATTGTGCGTTGGTGACTGAAGGCACATTCGTTAGGGAGCTGTAGTCAATCCCAGTTGCCTAGGGGTTGTTGTTTTGTGATTATATGCCCATTTGAAAATACATGTTTGTCAAATTCATGCACTAAATTTTTAAATGCAATATCTTGTTGGCATATCTTAGAAATGTAATGTGTAAAACTGGCTGTACACAGTGCTATGCAATGGTTGCCATGATGCTACAAAGAATTGTGAGACCAATCTTATGTTGCGTTTTGAAAACAATAGACAAATAGCTTCAAATGTTTTTCTTTTGCAGCAGTGCCTTGTTAGCTTTAGGCATCAAGAAAATGAGAGATACAAATTGACTGCAATTTTAATTAGCATGGCAAGAAATGTAATTCTATGACTGTCAATGAAAAATCTTGCATTCTTCCCTGCTATGCAAGCTGAACCTTGTATCATGTTCCACATATTTCTTCAAATCAGGAGACATCCTGCAGATATTTTATAAGCAATACTTCCATGAGGTTTCATTAGTGGTATGGGTCTGATTTGTGAACACTTTAAACTCCAAAATAGGAGCAAAAGAGTACTCCTAAACTCTAGGCCATAACATAGCCCAGCAGATGCCATCAGAATAAGGCCACGACATGGTGGCCTTGGATAATACTGTGACCCCACAGGTATGGATTTGGCTGCCCCAGAATCAATGATCTCTTGGAGGACATCATGGGGATATAAAGATAATCGCAGCAAGCTTGAAGATTTCTAATCCCTGGTGTGTTCTAGATTGTGTCACCAGGAGCATAACAGGGTCTAGAGATTTATCCACAGCCTATAACGTTCCTGACCTGGATGGAACCATCTGCATTATCCCCAGCCTTGAATGATTTACTAGAAGAGGGAATATGGCAGCAAGTGTTCCAGACAAGCTAAAAGAGGCAGAGTCTGCAGCAAAACCTCTAGGTGCCAATGCACTCTTGCTGCTGCTACACTGTGCTGGATGTTTGCTGAACTAATTGGGGGTGGGGGTTAGGCTTAATTCCAAACCATAGAGAAGGTCTACCCATCACTAAATTTCTCATGTTCCATGCAGAATTTCAGGAGTGAAGATCAAATACATCTTTGCTTCAGACTCATTATATATTAGAGCAGACTACTAAGGAACAATGTGGAAGTTCTTAACCAGAGTTTGTTAGTTTTAAGTAACAACAGTGAATGGAACCACGAAGTCCCTTAGAATTGCGTAATTAATTAACTATTGTTGGTGATAAATGGGAAGCAGACAGCTACTTTGAAATTAGGCTTGATCATGTGAATCTTTACTCAGGCAAAACCCAGTTTGGTACCATTCAATTAAGTCTGCAGTTTTAAAACGCAAACCATAACCTTAGATATAGCAAAGAGCTTAGAAAGTGTGTGTAAAAATTAAACCTACGAGTCTTTCTAGCGGAATCTTCAATGAAGAGAGAAGAAATATCCTCATCTACTCCCACTTCATTTTTAGCAATGCAAGTATAGGCACCTGTGTCTTCATATCGAACACTACTGATGTGAAGTTCGCTTCCATTTGCTGCAACAAAAAAGATCCACAAAAGCTATAAATTGTAACAAGCTCTGGAAAGTGAGGTTTTTAGGCTGCAGTCTTAAACGCAGTTACTTGACAGAGAGTTCCAGTGAAATCAAATAGGCTCAGAGGGTTTTATCCAACAAAGTAATTCAGTTAGCTGAAGGACTTTTTCCTTTCCTTGCACACCCGCCCATCTGTTCTGGAGGACTGGGAAGAGAGAGAGAGAAGAGGAAAGGAAGTTCCATGGTGCAGGAGGAAGTCCTTGTGTTAACAGTAACAGGGCAACTATGTTGGATACAACACAGGGTTCCAGCCTTACAATTATGTTTTTGAACTCATTGTTCCAGAATTGAGATTGCTTACAGTTGAAGAAGTCCAGAAATACTGAGGATGAATGATTGGTTACCATGACATTGGAAAGTCACAAAAGTTTACTTATCTTTCTGAGAATAAGAGAATGTCAGTAGACAATACATTATCAGATGGATAAATTTTGAACTTCTGATAATATTTTCATTTCTTGTATTTATTCACATATTTCTAGGGCATATTTAAAAGCAAAGCCTTCACAAAGCAGCAAAACCATCCATAAAATACAATGGCACATTTCGGTAACACCAACCACTTAAAACAACAGTCTAAAACAGTTCACCGGCCAGTAACTTAACATTAAAAATGAAGTAAAACCACATAAAATCATTTCCATTCAGCAGCATTGTAAAATTCTTTGAAAAACATGTGGCCTTCCAGAGTCTGTTTAAAAGCCTGTACATGAATTTTGGGATATTAATTTTGATTATAGCTTTTTTTACAGGCAGTTTGACACTATGAATATAAGATACTAAAAGTGGCAATTATACAGGAATTGAGAAATTTACTGTAAACTGATGAAAAGAATTGAGAGCTGCTTTAGGGCACAGTCCCTCAGCCAGCATTTGGCTCATGGAGGGGCTTTCTGAGCGGTGTACATACTGCATAAAGGTGAGAGGCCCACTAGTAGGATGGTACTTGTGCTGCCACACACCCTTGATGGAACAAAAAACTGTCCCACCCTGCTATCCAACAGGGCTTTGGATGTGGTGGTTTCTGTTCCATGGAGTCTCCATACACCCCCATGTGCAACAGGCCTGCTCTGTTAATTCCAGTAACACAGAAAATAATGTTCTGTTGGTTCCAATAATATGGATATGAAAAGAGATAGTCTACTGGAGGAATCCAGCGTTGTGCTTTGTTTGTCAGCACAGGCATTTCAGCTTGTCAGACAGAATGATTCCCCCTCTCCTTACCCCTCACACAGGAGGTATGTGGGACGCATGGGGTGGGGAAAGGGGAGAAAGTCCCATAGTGCCAGCAAAATCCCTTGCATAGGGCATCCACCATTGAGGCTCATTTGGTGAATCACGGAGCCAATTATTTTTCATCTCAACCAATCCAGCAGCACTTGATCCAGATTTTACCTAAGAAGCCGTAGAAAGTATTGACTGATGTTGATTTTGCAAAGAGAAAAAGCAAAAATTCGGTTCCCTTTGACGTCAGATAAAGCAAACTTTTCTTACCCTTACCTAATAGCATCAGTTGCTTAGACAATTTGGGCATGATACCAATGCCGTTCTTTAGCCAGGAGATTTTGGGATTTGGGATCCCCTCAGCATGACACTTGAGGCTGGCTGATACCCCGGGTTCTTGTGCCTGGGTTTCAGGATACACACGAATCACTGGTGGCACTGTGGAGAGAGAAAAAAACAAAACAATGGGTGGCTTTAAACTAAGCTGTTAGGTGTCAGCTCTTACTCATCAACAACATACAACACGGTATTGTTGTGGCAGCTAGGGATATAGAGGACTCAAACATTATGGATCCAAACCATACATTATGTGCAATTTCACGTTTCTTTCTCATGTGTGTGTGTGTGTGTGTTTGTGTTTGTTTTAAGGGGCTGTAAACTTTTCCTTTCCTATCACTTATCTGCTCAAGACTGCACTCCAAGTACCTTTCTGCAGTGCTGGGAAATTATGTGGTAAGCCTGTATCTTTTCCCTGCAGAAAGAAAAGCACCTTTTGGGTGCATGATTTTGAGTTGACACCTGGCAGTATGAGAAAGAGCTGGCAATCTTCCACTGGCACTCTTCCGCTTTTGATTGTGTACTTTAAAGTTGACACACACACACACCACATTACACTGCTGCTGAAAGAGTTGCACTGACTACCAATAAGCTACTGTGCTAGGTTTGAAATGCTGGTACTGGTATGATGGCCTCTGCGGAGTTAGCCAGACTGACTGTTAAGATCCAGAACCAGGGGGACCAGAAATTCCAAAGAGAATGGAGTAAACATATTGAGTACTTGAAAGATAATTGCAAAAATGTGAAGACACTAGCAGGACTGAAATAAATCTTGTAACATAATGTAAAAATAGTATCTGACCGTGGACAAAAATGGACTTGATATATATATTGAAGGACAGAAAATGGCAGTTAAAATGCGCATACAATTTATTAGAAATTGGAAAACCAGCTGAAGGGAAGGAAGTCATGAGCTCGGCGGAGCAAATGTATTTGATATGCATCTGAAAGGCTGTTATATTTTGTGTTTTTTTAAAAAAGAAAAACAACAAAAATTATTTATAAAAAAATAATAATGGAATGCAGGTACTGGTGTGTAAACCCTAGACAGGTTGGGACCAGGATACCCAAAGGACTGTGTCATACCCAACCAATCACTGCATTCTGTGGGAGAAAGTATCCTGGAGATGTCATCCTACCAAGAGGCCCATTCTGAATGCTGTCAAGGTCTTTAGTGTGGCAGCCCCTATCCTTTAGAACTCCCTCCCATTATACATCAGATCTCTATTCTCTTTGCCTCTTGCTGTGTCTTCTAAATGGAGACTTTCATCCCAGTTCATATCTGTATTGGATTTGAATGATTTTATGTACATGCTGTTGTGGTTTAAATTGTTTATATGTATTTCAAGAAATGTTTTTTAATATATGCATTTGTTTTAAGTGTGTAAGTGTGTGTGTGTGTGTGTGTGTGTGTGTGTGTGTAAAACACTTTGAGGTTTGTAATGGGAAGCAGTTCACTAAATGAAATAATAAATAAATAAACAACACACAAGTTATTAAAAGAAACGCTGGTCTTTACTGAATTCTAACGTGAGAGATTAATAAGTAATTCTTGGGGGGCGGGTTGTGCTGCAAATTTGACTCTAATCTAATTGTTTATTTACTCCAGGGGCTTTTAAAAATAACCAATGCACACATTAGAAGCTGCTTAATTTTGCCATCAACAGCTCAGTCCTACATAGGTGTCAACAACTCAACATTTTAGTAGCCCAGCCTGTAAAACTATGTTTGGTTTAGTGCTGAGATGAAATGGGCAAAATTAGATTTTCAGATTTACACCATCCCAGATGGGATGTACCGTGCTGGTGGTATTTGAAGAGGTGAATTCTGTGCTTGTGGTGTGTACTAACGCTGAACTTAAATATACCCTCTGTCTTTCCCCACTGTTTTTTTTCAGGCTGCAAAACTGCTGGTGGAGGGGGGAGTTTTATTATTTTATATTTTTATTTCTACCTTATCTTTTCCCCTGACAGGACTCAAGGCAAGCTATTTCAGAGGTTTGGGCAGGCAAAATATGGGGAGCTCTCATGAAAACTTAGGATCGGTGGTGAATAAAATCCCAGCACTGATGTGAACCTTTAAAAAAATGCACAAGTTTCTTGAGAGAGCAAGGAGCAACACCCTCATTCTTCATGTTAAAGGCAGGTGATGAAGTGGAATTGGCATGAAGACACGTTAGAATGAGGGCAGTATTCTGTGTCCTCTCCCTGGTGTCTTGTGAGTAAAAATAAATAAAACTGTAAACACCAGCAACAGGGAGCAATTTGGGCTGAATCTTCTCTGTCATAAAATACAAATTAACACCATTAACATCAGTGAGAGTTATATCTATCCTGAAGGAGCATGTTGAAGACATTGCTTTCCTGTCTGAAGGGCATTTCTGAGATGATCACAGTTTGAACATTTCTGCCACCGGAATAGATGCAATAAAAAGTGTTTGAATTCACTTGTCTCTAAAGGATAGATAGAATAAGGCCCCATTTGAGGAAAATACACATTTATCAAATAGCTAGTTTGATATGCAGCTGTATATAGCAGCATTTTGTATGGAAAAAGTAAACTTCACCACTGTTGAAAACTACCTTGATTTTTTCTTCTTCTCCTTAGCACCATGATGTGTTTCAGTGAATTTAGGGTAATTTCCTTACGCTGCCTCCCTTCCCCTCAGCCAAGCTAGTTTAGTCACATTGTTATGATGTCACTCACATTTGTGTTTGTCATATGTTTTGTATAGGGAAGGTTTTTCCCCCTATAGCATTGTAAAATGGAGGGGTGGGTTCTTATGTAACTGTATGTGTGGGTTTTTGAAAATTGCATTTTTGATTTTGTATGCTGCAAAAAAGTGGTGGTGATGATACTGAGAATGCTCTCTGATCTATTGGCCCCAACCAGCCTCATATATCCATTTTAAAATGGTATTCTGAAATAGTTTTGGTTGGTGTTTAAACAAGAACTGAAGAAAGAAGGGATTGAATCCTACATTCACTCAGTAGAGTGTGACCCAAATAAGCAAAATCAGTAACAGAGTGGTGTGAAAGCGTATCTTGGCAGCTCTAGTGGAAAAATAATACACAGACACTAAAATTAGACTGCACATTAGAACCAAATCTTATACAATTTCAAAGATTCAAAAATACTTATTTCTTGTTTACAATCAGCATGCATCAAATCTTTGTGAAATTCATCTTTTGACATGAATTTGTCATTTGCGAGTGGAGGAATCCATGAAAAACTCTTTATCGTTCATTCCCCCCATTATTTCATCTTGGCACTAATCTGCACACATAGTGAGAGCCCTCCAATCTCCCCAGGTTGCATTTTAAACTGGAATTTTTTGCAAGAACTTGACTAGATATTTTTAAAGTGTATCACAGAGAGGCCATATTCACCATACTGAGCTAGCTCAGTTCATAATATTACCACAATGAAGGTACTTTCAAGAGGATGGTGTCGGCTGACAAACATTAGATGCAAGCACAATGTGTGATTTGTTGTTGTTGTTGTTGTTTTGCGTGGTAACTCAGTTTGGAACACCAAAACCCAGAATTAAAACTTGCTAGGAACCCTTCTAATTAAAATGTCCCCAGTGCTATTTTCAGAAAGGAAGAACATCTAGCAATTATATTCATCCACAATATCCCTTGAGCTATTTCCTTCCGGTGACTATCCACAGAAAGATTCCATTATCTTGCACCTACCTACTGATCCCTAAAATAGTTCTCAAGTCACCAGTTCTGGTGAATACTGTAAATGATATCAGAAAGGGAAGCATGGTTTCAAGTCTTTTTGTTTACAAAGATGTAAAAAAAAGACAGCTCAGGTGTAACTTGAACTGAAGTGACTGGAGGCAATTGTGGAGAGAGAAGATAGGAACTGCCTTGCTTCCATTTTAAATCAGGCATTTGGTTTTACCTTATTTTATCCATAAAACCATCAAGGCACACTGTGCTGTTAGGATATTTTCTGCCATTCATTACAATAAGCTTCACATACCATAAGAGTCTCTAACCAGGCTGACAGTATGCTTTCTGACTTTGCCAAGCCTACTAATCATGAACTGTCTGGAAGAATGCATGCCAGATTTGTTAGAGTCTCTCTCTGAAGGAAAGAGATTTGTGTACTGAGGCTGCTACAAAAGCCAACTTTCTCTTAGTAAATTAACAAGAATGAAAAGTCCAACATATTAATAGCACTATGCTCCTGAGCAATTCTCAGTACAGCCATGGGCAAACTAATTTTAGCACGCATTACACCATATCTTTAAATAGGCATGAGAGTAGCATCCTCATTTAATATAACCTGTTTTCAAAGGATATCTATAAAAGGAAATAGGCAAACTCACTGAGGGTTTTGTTAACATGGGCAGATTGATGATATTTAAGCAAATCTGTTAATTACCTAATTTCTTTGTCCCTTGAATCTAGGGTAGAACAATGCAAAATTATGTGCAGATGGTAACATACTGAAGTCATATTGCATCTGAGAAAAAAAGCAGGTTGGCTCATTAGGAAAAAATAACAATCGAATTCATAGGAGGTTATGATTCATAGGCAGTTTTGTCTGTATGAAAAGCAAGTAGATGAATGCTGGGCTGTTTTTCTTAAACACTTCTGGTACGAATGCCCATCAATTGTGCTAACCTGACTTTCTTGACTGACTTTCTTTACAGCCTGATTCATCACCAGCCATTTAAGCAAAGAATGTGGCTTGATCCTTGCAAGTGCTTGATAGCATAACGGCAAGAGTATTTCTTTCATTAGTGAATAATGCTAATTTAAGCTAATCAACACAAGCAGAACAAAGATGAAGCTCTATAACTTTACTTAAGCAGTGCTCGAAATGAGCAAAGCAAAAGACCCGTTGTTTTTTTTAAAAAGTGAGTTTAAAAAACACCCACCACTTTGATCCCTGCTTCAGGTGTTGTTTTTGGAATGAAACTATTGTTCTCCTATGCTGAGAATTGGGCAAGGTAAATATGCCCCTGTTGGACTTCTCAGCAGAATCTTAGCTACTATATGCCTTAGATGGGATTGGGAGGCATCATTTTGAAATGGTTCCAGTTGTTTTTTGGAGTGGGGTAAGGGACGCGGGTGGCACTGTGG